ACGCTCGGAAACGAAGGGTAGCAGATAACAGGAGAGAATGAGGGCGAAAAGGGGTCGGAAGAAGGGGGGGAAAGGGCAAGAAGGGGGGAGGGCGATGATTTGCGCTGCGAGTGGCGATTCAGCTTGCGCCATGGCTTGCGCCAGCCACTCCAACACAAGTTAACAAGAAATTGCGCCATGGGTCGCGCCATCAACAGCGCCGCGCACCACCCCCTTGAGAGAACATAATGTGGATACCCCCACGGGGGGGCGCACAGCTGCGAACTGGTGTCAGAAACAAATTTCGTTAAACCCTGAGAAGAAGCGGGATGTTGGGAGAGCGGGGCAGAAGGATAGTGAGAACTGCAACCGCGTCGACAGGGGCGCGGGGATGTGGAGTGGATTGGGAAGGAGTGGGCAAGAATAGGGTCTCAGGAGGAGGAGCGGTAAGGAGTGGAGAAGAGGAGCCGGGAGGAGTGCGGAGGAGCGGGGGGCGCACGGAGGAATCTGGAGGAGGGAGTGGGAATAACTTGGGAGGAATGCGCAACGCGAGCGGGAAGGGGTGGAGATTGTTGGTGCGGGATGGGGTGGCCTGGGAAGAAATGGGCGGAATGCGAAGAACAGAGGAATAACACAATGGAGTACGAACAAAACGAAAATGAAGATAAAGGGAAAGAGTAGAGAAGACTGGGAAAGAACGTTGAAAATGGGGGCAGGTGGATGCGAGTGGAGACTGGTGCGGAAACAAAGCGCGGGGGGATTGGAAGGCACCTGAAGGCCTCCAATGACCTCTGGGGGGCCTCGGAATGGCCCCGATGACCACCGAGCAGTTCCAGAGGCTCCGAAAACCTGCGGGGACGCAGGCGGGAGCCGTTCTTGGCGCGGGCCACGATGGGCGCGAACGAGCGGGGGCCCCGAAGGGCATACGTATAGGGGGCCGAAGAGGGCAGCGACGGAGCCGCTGAGGGCAGAAACGGGGCCACGAAGGGCAGAGAGGGAGCCACGAAGAGCGACAGCGGGGCCACGAAGGGCATGCATATGGGGCCACGACGGGCGCGAACGAGCGGGGGCCACGAAGGGCATACATATATGGGGCCAGAAAGGGCGACAGCGGGGCCACTGAGCGCAGAAAATCTTCCACGAAGGGCAGCGAGGAAGCCACGAATGGCGACAACGGGGCGACGAAACGCATGCGTATGGGGCCACGAAGGGCGCAAGCGAGCGGGGGCCCCGAAGGGCAATGATCCGGGGCCACAAAGGGCAGCGACGGGGCCGCTGAGGGCAGAAACGGGGCCACGAAGGGCAGAGAGGGGGCCACGAAGGGCGACAGCGGGGCCACGAAGGGCATGCATATGGGGCCACGACGGGCGCGAACGAGCGGGGGCCACGAAGGGCATTCGTATATGGGGCCACAGAAGGCGACAGCGGGGCCACTGAGGGCAGCAAAGGGGCCACGAAGGGCAGCGAGAGGGCCACGAAGGGCGACAGCGGGGCTACGAAGGGCATGCGTATGGAGTCACGACGGGCGACTGCGAGCGGGGGCCACGAAAGGCATATAATGCGGGGCCACAATGGGCAGCGACGGGGCCACTGAGGGCAGCAACGGGGCCACGAAGGGCAGCGAACGCAGGCGACCGCGGAACCAGCACGGGCAGCGAGGGGCATCGAAGGCGGGCGAAGGGCAGCGAGCGGCGACTGCAGTCCCTAACGGGCTGGTCGGGCGGGCAGGCCCAGACGGGCGGGTCGAGCGGGCGGGTCGTTGAAGCGTAAATTCTGCTTGAACCGCCAGGCAATATGTAGCGGGAGCGCGATTCCTGAGTGTCGAGGAGCGGCATCTGAATCAGTTGTAAGGAAGTATCATGCGGTAGCCGCGATTCGGTGGTAAATTGCGAGGAAGTCCCAAGAGAGAGCGCGATTCTTCAATAGTATCATGTGGGAGCCGCGATCCGGTGGTAAATTGCAAGGAAATCCAAAGCGAGAGCGCGATTCTTCAATACATTGTAAGGAAGTATCAGGCGGGAGCCGTTGTTGTTGTAAACGGGGTGCCAACGACACAGTTTGACCCTCAAGACTTCCCCTGATAAGAAACAGGGTGCGAACCCCGGGAAGGGCACTTCAATCGAAAAAACAATGTGCACCGGACGGGGGTGATCAACAATAATTATTCTTCAGAAGTGAGAGAACAACAGCAACAACAACAATAATAATAATAAGAAGAAGAAGAATAATAAGAAGAATAAGAAGAATAATAAGAAGAACAAGAAGAATAATAATAATAATGATAATGATACTAATAATAATAATAATAATAATAATGATAATAATAATAATAATAATAATAATAATAATAATAATAATAATAATAATGATAATAATAATAATAATAATAATATAAAATGATGATAATAGTAACAATAATAAGCATCGCGGAATTCCACTGCAGCCACGCACCCAAGGACAGTAAATGACCGTTCGGTTCAACCCCCTTCACTCTGACAAGGAATCCGCCTGCTCCTTAGAAGCATGGCAGGAACAGTTTCTAAGAAGCAATCGCAAGCTTCTGAGAAGGGGTGCCCGCGCCATCCAAGAAGGGTCGCGGGCCAGACCGTCGGGGCAACCCCGCGAGCCGCTGGCGCGCGAAACCAAACCGTTGGGAGAACCCCGCGGTCTTCGAGCGGGACGCAGCCGCGCTCTAGCGGGAGGCAGCACGAAGCCTAGCTCTGCCGCGAGCTGCTCCGCCTCTGCCCTGGAGCTCGCGGCTCTCTTGTCGAACTCCAGGAGCGCCTTCCGCAAGGCCGCCGGCGGCCCTCGCTCCAGGATCTCTCGCGGCGGCGGCCGCAGGATCAGCATGTTCCGCATGCGCGTGGCGCGGGCCCCATAAGGAGGGGGTTCCCGCTTGAACCTTCCTCGCAATTCACTCACAGACGAGGCTCCCGCTGAATATTTCCCCCATACTCACGCCTGAAGAAGCCAAACATGACGACAGTTCGAAGGTTCCGACGACCCGCTCGGATCAATAACGCGAGCTGCGGGTTCCATAAGGAGGGGGCTCCCGCCTGAGACTTCCTCGCAACTCACTCACAGACAAAGCTCCCGCTCCAGACTTCCCCCACATTCAAGCCTGAAGAGGCCCCAAATGACGAACGCTACAAGCTTCCGATGTCCCTCTCGGATCAATAACACGAGCTGCGGGTTCCATAAGGAAGGGGCTCCCGCCCGGGACCTCCTCGCAATTCACTCACTGACGAGGCTCCCGCTCGAGACTTCCCCCATAATCAAGCCTGAAGGGGCCAAAAATGACGACAGTTAAAAGGTCCCGATGACCCGCTCGGATTTATAAATGATGTGCGGGCTCCTTAGGGAGCTCCCGCCTGAGACTTCCTCGCAATGCATTCAATGGTAGCTATGAGTGAGTGAGTGAGCCACTCAGAAGAAGTGAGTGAGTGAGTGGGGTAGTGAATGAATATGTTAGGAGTGAGTGAAAGTGATCGAGGGAGTGTGAGTGAATGCGTATGTGATGATGATGTGGTGGTGACGATGATGATGTGAGTGTGTGAGTGTGTGAGTGAGTGGTGCGGAGGAGGAGGAGTAGAGATCCTGCGCGGGGGGCGTGCAGAGAAAATTACTCCGACGGTGGGACCCAGCATGAGAAGTTATTCAGCTTGCCCCTCGCCCTTCTCTTCTTTGACTGGCGGAGGCCTTGCTTCCGACCTCTGCGTCCTCCTCTTCCTCCTCCTCCTTCTCCTCTTCCTTCTCGTCCTACTCCTTGCATGTCTTATCCTCTTCTTTTTCTTATTCCTCCTCCTCCTCTTCCTCCTCCTCCTTCTCCACCTCATCCTCCTCCCTCTTCTCCTCATGCTCCCCCTCCTCCTCGTCCTTTTGCTCCTCCTCCTCATCCACCTCATCCTCCTTCTCTCCCTCCTCATCGCCACCCGGCCCGTTCTCCTCGGACACGTATCCTTCCTCCTGGCATGAGCGCGTATGAGGAAGAGAGGGAGGAGTAGAGATCCTGCGCGGGGGGGGGGGGGGGCAGACAAAGCACGAACCCCACTCAGGATGTGGGGAAAAATTGCGTAAGTACCTTCGTCCTATCTGTTTTGAGCATCAAAGCCATGATGCTCAAATAATTCTTCATATAGCGAACACAAGCAATGTGACGTTCGTACTATTCCACACATATTCGCAGCATTCGCACTTACATCACTGCAGGATCGATTTGTATGCGCCTGGGCATGGAACAACAAAAAATGCGCTCCAAACGAGGCCTCGCCGCCGAGGAATCGACGGGTTGACCTCTCGCCTTCGACGGAAATCTGGCGCACGGCCTGTGGAAGTCAGCGGAAAAACAGCCGGGGGGATCTTGCCAGCGGGGGTCAGGATTTCCAGCTGGCCATGTAAGAACCTGGGGTAAGCTGACCAGTGGCAATATACAGCAATAACCTCCACCATCGTGGGCCCCATCACCCTCCGAGCCCCGCCACGGGGACGGCTGAGCCCCCTCCGTGTAATGTCAGAGCCGCTAACCCCAAGCAACCTGCGAGCAAAAGGGACGTCCGAGCCCGTGAGCATTGAGGAGTGGTTGCGCCCAACACTCCAGAATTCCTCGTGGGAAACTAGAGTCACCATCACGTCTGTCGGAATAGCAGCAATTGCAGAAGGAGCCAGCGAGCCAGAAAAGGGCGCACGAATGCAGGCTCGCAAACAATTTACGACCCTGATGCTCAGCGCATGTGAGCCGCAAGAGTCGTTCCTGATGACCTGTGTGTCCGCGCGGTGGTTGAGGGTCGGGTCCACAAGCGCCCCAGTGTTCAGCGCTTCGCGAAGCATTGGCGAGGCGCCACAGCCAGCACCGCCAGCGTCAGACAGGAAGAAACCGACGCGTTAGGATAGGATGCTGCCAGCTTGCGCGTCCTCCACAGCCTCCAGAAGAAAATGTGGTAGACCGCGAGAGGAGTGGCAGGTGACGGTTCGAACGGCAACGAAGTCACTGGTCCAGGCCGTCAGATATGCCTGGCTGCCCATCACCCTCCTCGCACAGTCCACCATGTGTAGTCCGCGTCCACAATAAGCGGGTGGCGAAATTCAGTGTCCGCGTCCTTCCACGCGTACAGCGCCTTAAGCAACCCTGGATAGCCAGCAGGGTTATAGTCGTGGCCGGCCAGCACTCCTCTTGTGCGCGGCGCCCAGGCGGCCAAGTCCCGGCGCACCCCCTCTGCGCTGTGGTCGCCGTCGAGGAAGACCAGGTCGAAGAATCTCGAAGCGAACCGCGGCGCGGCCTCCTCGGCAGACATCGCACGGTGAACGAAAATACCCGTCCAGTGTGAGGGCACCTGCGTGCGCCTCGTGCCCACAGCTTCGCCGCCGCGGCCGCGCTCGTCGTCGGCCTCCACCCGCTGCAGCTGCAGCGCTGGGCGGCTGCGGTTGGCGGCTCCGGCCCTGGCTGCTCCCACTGTGACCACGTGAGCGGCCGGCACGGCGCCCCTGCGGAGTGCGCTGCGCACGCGGCGCAGCATGGTGGCGTACACCTCCCCGTCCGACATTGCCGGCCGCGCGCGGTCAACACCGTGCAGCGCGGCCTTGGCCTGGTAGAACCGCCGTGCCGGCACCTCGCTGCGCGTCTCGTTCCAGAGATCCACCAAGTGGTCCGCCACCGTGTTGTGCAGCTGTTGGCGCGTCGGGCCCCCTGTTTTCTCCATGAGCCCCTTGCTACATCCTGGCGAAGGGCCCAACCATTTTCAGCTGCGACTACCGCGAGGGAAATGAGAAAAAAAGGGGGGCAGCGAAATGACGGACTCGCGCGCACATCCTGGCAGGGCGGCGCCATGCGAACCCTGCCATTGGGGCCTTCGGTGGAGCTCCCTACGGGGCCGCGAAACGTGTGAGAGGTTTGCCAAATGGGACGCGGTGCGAGCACTACCATTGGTGCCTTCGATGGACCTCCCTACGGGCCCACGAGGCGTGTACATGGGCGTGGGGCAACGCATGCGGGCCCTGCCACTGGTGCGTTCGGTGGAACTCCCCAGAAAGCTACAATGCGTGTGAGGGTTGTACCGAAAATGAGCGCGGTCACGCACGCGTGCCCTGCCACCAGGACCTGCGGTGGAGCTCTCCATGGGGCCACGAAACGTGAGGGGCGTGCCGAAGCAGAGACATGGGGAGGGCAGGGGCAAGAGCATTGGTAGGGATGGAGGAGGGAGGCGGGGGAGGAGGAGAGGCGAGGAGGAAACGCGGGCCGTTGCTGAACCAAAACGAGGGCCCAACACCACAGGATGATTGGAATCAAGCCCACGGCGTATGGAGCCCATCACGCGCCATTGTTGTCAAAACCATCCTGCGTTTCGTTTGCCTCTCACATGGAAGAACGAATTTCTGGTGAAGTTTCCGTGAATCCTCCCGCACACCCACCGCAGCCTCTCCCACCCACCCGAAGCCCCAAGACCCCCACTCCGCCCACAATGCTGTCCCAGGCCTATGGCGTCATAACTTCTGCGTGACGTGCCCCCCCAAAGTTCCGGACACCATCCTGTTGACCATGTTTCTCATCGCGGGTCGTTCCTGGTGGCCGAAGGGCCCGAAGGCCCGTTCGCGCCCAGATTGCGCGGACGTCTCGAGCGGAATGGTCGTGAGTTGTCGCTTGGGTCTCCTCAGGGCGTGCCGACCATCTCTGTTCCACAGGCCCGTTCGCGCCCAGATCGTAAGGAAGCCCCGAACAGAATGGCAGCGCGTGGCCGTGGGTGTCTCGCATCTTAGAAATCGGTGGCGTTGCAGACGTGGCCTCTGGCGCCCCAAAAGGGGATGGGATCGGGGGTGTTCCACGGGCCCGTTCGCGCCCAGACTGTGGGGACGTCTTCAATGGAATGGCCGTTTGTGGATGTTGGTGCGCCTGGTTCAGAGCCCCAAGACCACCGCGATGTCGGCATGTCTTGTGGGCCTCCCAAAAGGGGGCCGACCAGGGGTGATCCATGGATCCGTGTGTGTGTGTGTGTGTCAAGGTTGTGGGGAGGCTTCGGATGGAATGGCAGGTTTCCCTGGGTATACGTGCTTTCTGCGTCTGCTGATGAAGAGGAGGGATGCGTAGTGCAGCACTGAGCGGAGCACCAGGCGACAGCGGGAGCAAAAGAAAGCATCGCTCACGCTCGGGGCCGGCCCCTTCCCGCTACCGCTTAGACGCTCACAGCGTTGATATGACGGGGCGCTGAAGGCTAGTCAACCCTATCGATCAGCTACTTCTTCTGGGTTTTTTTGGGGGGAAATTCGAGGGTTTCCTTCGAATTTCCCGAGAATCTCAATATGTTCTGAAACAAGACTAAATGCAATATTATTCTTCTGGGGCCGGCTTGGGGCTTGCAATTACAGGGTAACCCTGAAATTTCCGAAGAAGAATAAAAGCTTCAAATTATTATTCTTGGCGTGCTCGGTCCTGCTGCTTTAGCATGGAGGGTGAATTTGAATTAAGGGAGGCGCGCAACGTAAATTATTATTGTCTGGGCGGGTGGCAAAGGAGGGTTTCCCTGAATTTGCCGATGGGGGACAGCCTATCGGGGGAAGCCCACTTTGACTGTCTTGAAGCTGTCCTCTCCACTGCTCGTGCAAACATCCCACCCACCCACCCGCAACTTGGTTTGCAAAACCTGTTCAGACCGACTACGACGACACCGACGACGACGACTAGGACGACACCGACGACGTCTCCGACGACTTCGACGACGACAACGACGCCGACGCCGACGACAACGAAGACGACGACGACGACGCCAACGAACCGACGACGAGGGAGGAGGAAGGACGACGACGGCGACAACGACGACAACGACGACAACGACGAGAGAGGAGGGAGGACGGCGACGACGCGAACGACGACGAAGGAGGAAGGACGGCGACGACGACGACAACGACGAGGGAGGAGGAAACGACGACGACGACGACGACGACGACGACGACGACGCGAATAGGAGGGACGACGACGAGACGCCGACGACGACGGACGACGACGAGGAGGAGGGGAAGGACGACCACGGCGACAACGACGACGGAAACGACCACGACGCCAAAGAGGACGACGACGACGAACACGAGGAAAGACAGAGGACGACGTAGGCGACGACGACGACGACGCGGGAGGAGGGAGGACGGCGACGGCGACGACGACGACGCAAGAGCGCGCGCGCACGCTTTTGTTGAAAATCCGTGTTGCGAAACCTTGGGTTTTTGTAGGTTTTTTGGACGCGCGATTTCGAAATCTTTCCAAAAAAGATGGGTTTTGAAGGATTTCGGCGTACGCGCGCGACGACGCGCGCGTCTGCACTTCTTCCAATTTTTTGCAGAGGACTCTCGCGACGGCACACGCGCAAGAGCGTTCGACTGATTTCGACATGCGCGAGCGCGACGCCCGTTGGGTAGCATTTCGTGAAAATCTTGAAAAACCATGGTTTTCTTCAGAGTTCGCAAGAGCTCGCGCGGAAGCTTGTTTAGCAAATCAGTGTTGCGAAACCACGAAGGTTTTTGAAGGATTTCGGCATGCGCACGCGACGACGCGCGCGTGCGCATTTCGTCACATGTTTTGCAAGGGATTCGTGAACAAGTGCTATGCTAGAACAAAAAAAGTAATCGCATAGTGTTTTGTACCAGGGAACCTCAAGGGGCGGGATACCGGTTTGGCTGGGATGATATGATTTCATATTTAGTATATATATACTGTATATATACAAGCATACATACATACATACCTATACACATATATATATATATATATATATACATACATATATATATATATATGTGTGAAACTATACTATCCCAGGGGGAAGCGTTAAGTCCGGGGGGGGGAGAGTGTATTCCATTTTTAGAAAGAAGAATCTATGGAAGCCTGTGAAGGACGGCCTGCGAGGGGCAGACTCTGGGAATCCTGGGGGATCCCTTGGAAATCCTTGGGAGTCCCTATGGAATCCTTAGGAATCCCTAGGGCATCCACAAGGATCCCAAGGGAATCCTTAGGAATCCCGAGGGCATCCCTGGGAATCCATAGGGAATCCTTAGGAATCCTTAAGGGCTCCTCAAGAATCCTAAGGAAATCCTAAGGGATCCCTTGGGAATTTCCAAGAATCCAGAACGAATCCTTTGGAATCCTCAAGGTGTCGTTAAGAACCCCCGCGGAATCCCGAAACCCTCGGGAATCCTTATGACTCCCTCGGGAATCCAAAAGAATCACTGCAGAATCCTTGGGATTCAAAGCGGAATCTTCAAGAATCCCTAGGGAATCCTGGGGAATCTCTCGGTGCTCCCAAAGAATCCCTTCGGAAATCCTCAGGAATCCCTCGGGGATCCTGCGGGGTCCTCACGGGATCTTTCGGGACCCCTCGGGGTTCCTTAGGAATCCCTGGTGAATCCCAAAAAATCCCTGGGGCACCCTTGGGAACCCCAAAGGGAACCTCAGGAATCCGTAGGACATGGCCCGGCGCCCTCCGAGGAATCCAGATGACTGCCACCTTGGACGTTTTCCATGCGGCGCAAGCACACCAGGTGACCCACGAAGGCGTGGGTCACCAGAAGACTGGTTGAGAAAAACCAGTTGTTTCACCGGCATCCTGGGCCTCGTCATGAAGCGACACACTGCCACTCAATATGTTTGCCATTCGGCGCAAGCACACCAGGTGACCCACGAAGGGGTGGGTCACCAGAAAACTGGCTGAGAAAAACCCACTGTTTCACTTGCATTCTGGGCCTCAACATGAGGCGAGGCACTGCCACTCAATATGTTTGCCATTCGGCGCAAGCACAGCGGGTGACCCACGAAGGGGTGGGTCACCAGAAAACTGGTTGAGAAAAACCCACTGTTTCACTTGCATTCTGGGCCTCAACATGAGGCGACGCATTGCCACTCAAAACGTTTGTCATTCGGCGCAAGCACACCGGGTGACCCAAGAAGGGGTGGATCACCAGAAAACTGGTTGAGAAAAACCAATTGTTTCACTTGCATTCTGGGCCTCAACATGAAGCGACGCACTGCCACTCAATCCGTTTTCGATGCGGCGCAAGCACACCAGGTGACCCACGAAGGCGTGGGTCACCAGAAAACTGGTTGAGAAAAACCAATTGTTTCACTTGCATTCTGGGCCTCGTCATGAGCCGATGCATTGCCACTCGATACGTGCTCCATGCGGCGCAAACACACCAGGTGACCCACGAAGGGGTGGGTCACCAGAAAACTGGTTGAGAAAAACACATTGTTTCACTTGCATTCTGGGCCTCAACATGAGGCGACGCACTGCCACTCAATGCGTTTTCGATACGGCGCAAGCACACCAGGTGACCCACGACGGGGTGGGTCACCAGAGAACTGGTTGAGAAATGCCAATTGTTTCACTTGCATCCTGGGCCTCAACATGAGGCGACGCATTCCCACTCAATACGTTTTCCATACGGCGCAAGCACACCATGTGACCCACGACTGGGTGGGTCACCAGAAAGCTGGTTGAGAAAAAACAAGTGTTTCACTTGCATGCTTGGCCTCAACATGAGGCGATGCATTGCCACTTAATACGTTTTCCATGCGGCACAAGCACACCGGGTGACCCTCTGAAGGGGTGGGTCACCAGAAAACTGGTTCAGAAAAACCCATCGTTTCGCTTGCATCCTGGGCCTGAACGTGAGGCGACGCATTGCC